GCTAAGCTTAATTTATTATTGAAGAAAGATTTTTAATGAATTCAGTGTAGCTTAAGTGTACAGTGTCTATAACATCTATAGTATTATAATGTCCGAGGCCTTCATATTCACTCACCACTCACTGACTCACCCAGAGCAGCTTCCAGTCCTGCAAGCTCCATTCATGGTTAAGTGCCCTATATAGGAATATTGTTTTTAATTTTTATTTATTTTTTGAGACAGAGTCTCATTCACTGTGTGTCATGGCGTCAGCCTAGCTCACAGCAACTTTGAACTCCTGGGCTCAAGCCATCCTCCTGCCTCAGCCTCCCGAGTAGCTGGGACTACAGGTATGCGCTACCATGCCTGGCTAATTTTTATAGAGATTTGGTCTCACTCTTGCTCAGGCTGGTCTCAAACTCCTGACCTCAAGTGATCCTCCTGCCTTGGCCTCCCGAGTAGCTGGGACTACAGGTATGCGCCACCATGCCCAGCTAATTTTTGTATTTTTTGTAGAGATTTGGTCTCACTCTTGCTCAGGCTGGTCTCAAACTCCTGACCTCAAGTGATCCTCCTGCCTCGGCCTCCCAAAGGCATGCGCCACCATGCCCGGCCTAGTATGGAAATAACTTTTCAACCCTAAAATAGTGACTCTATATTATTACTATGATAAAATCACCAGAAATATACACAAGGCATTTTCTATTTAATGATCTTTGAAAATATCCAGGTTTTTAAAAATAGTATGAAAGATTTTTCTAGACCAGCCAGATGGGCTAAAATGTTTTTTTTTCAGATTTATGTTTCTCTGACTTTCCGCTGTAAAGAAAAGAAGCCATGGGACTGTAAACTAATGCAACCTCTGTGGAAAGCAATATGGAGATACCTCAAAGCGATACAAGTAGATCTATCATTTGATCCAAAATCCCATTACTGGGCATCTACCCAAAAGAACAAAAGACACTATAAAAAAAGACACCTGCACTCAAATGTTTATAGCAGCACAATTCACAAATGCAACGATGTGGAAACAACCCAAGTGCCCATTAATACGAGTGGATTAATAAAATGTGGTATATGTATACCATGGAATACTATTCAGCTTTAAGAAACAATGGTGATATAGCATCTCTTGTATATTCCTGGATAGAGCTGGAACCCATTCTACTAAGTAAAGTATCCCATGAATGAAAAAATAAGCACCACATGATGTACTCACCAGCAAATTGGTTTCAACTGATAAACACCTAAGTGGACACATAGGAATAACATTTATCGAGCATCAGGCAGATAGATGGGAGGGGGAGGAGGGGATGGTATATACATACATAGTGAATGTGATGCGTACCATCTGGGGGATGGACACGCTTGAAGCTCTGACTCTGGGGGGAGGAAGGGGGTGAAAGGCAACAAACATAACCTAAACATTTGTACCACCATAATATGCTGGGGGAAAAAAAAAAAAACAGAAGCCAAATCTAAGTCTTATTTCACATACATTTGCAATTCTTTCTAATCTTTAATATAAGAATGACATTTTTCTGGAGTAGAGTCACTTAGTCTCTGGACTTCTCAGCACTATCTCTTGGTCATAAAAATCCATGAATCAGTACTTAAAATGTTGTAGGCTGGGTGCCTTGGCTCACACCTCTAATCCCAGCACTTCGGGAGGCTGAGGTAGGAGGATTGAGCCCAGGAGTTCAACACCAGCCTGGGCAAAATAGCATGTCTTCACAAAAAATTTTTAAAAATCAGCCTAGTGGCACATGTCTGTATTCCTGGCTACCTGGGAGGCTGATGCAGGAGGACTGCCTGAATCCTGGAGTTGGAGGATCATCATAGCTTCATCATAGCTGTGTGATCATCATTCATTCATCACTGGAGCTCCATTCATCATTGGAACATCATCACAGCTGTGTGATCAGCTATGATCACACCACTGCACTTCAACCTCCACAGCAGAGTGAGACTATCTCAAAACCACCAAACAAACAAAAAAATAAAATACAACAGAAAAAATTTTAAAAGTTCTGTATAAGCATATGCCCATACAAAGCCCACAAACGTACAAAAATTTTATCTGTGACATTCAGAACCTTTTAAAAACCCACTGTAATCCTAGCACTCTGGGAGGCTGAGGTGGATGGACTGTTTGAGCTCAGGAGTTCAAGACCAGCCCGAGTAAGAGTGAGACCCCATCTCTACTGAAAAATCGAAAGAAATTAGCCAAACAACTAAAAACAGAAAAAAATTAGCTGGGCACGGAGGCGTTTGTCTGTAGCCCCAGCTACTTGGGAGGGTAGGGAGACCCCTTGAGCCCAGGAGTCTGAGGTTGCTGTGAGCTAGGCTGATGCCACGGCACTCTAACCAGGGCAACAAAGCCAGACTGTCTCAAATAAATAACCCAAATGTCTTTTTATAGGTGAATAAACAACTGTGGAATAACTATACAACAGCTGCTCAGCAATACAAAGCAATGCACTGCTAAAACAAGCAACAAGAATAAACCACAGGCCGGGTGCGGTGGCTCATGCCTGTAATTAATTCTAGCACTGTGGGAGGCTGATACGGGAGGAACCCTCAAGGTCAGGAGTTCAAAACCAGCCTGAGCAAGAGGGAGACCCCGTCTCTACAATAAATAGAAATTAAACTGGCCAACAAAATATGTATAGAAAAATAAGCCATGGCATGGTGTGCGCATGCCTGTAGTCCCAAGTTACTTCGGAGAGGCTGAGGGCAGGAGGATCCCTTGAGCCCAGGAGTCTGAGGTTGCTGTGAGCTAGGCTGACGCCATGGCACTCTAGCCTGGATAACAAGAGACTCTGTCAAAAAAAAAAAGGAAAAAGGGCCTGGGGGCGGGTGGCTCACGCCTGTAATCTCAAGCACTGTGGGCAGGCCGAGGCGGGGCCAGATTGCCCGAGGCCAGGAGTTTTGAAACTAGCCTGAGCAAGACCCTGTCTCTCCTAGTAAATAGAAAGAAATTAATTGGGCAACTCAATATATTTAAAAAATTAGCTGGGGCATGGTGGCGCATGCCGTAGTCCCAGCTACTTGGGAAGGCTGAGCAGGGAGGATTGCCTGGAGCCCAGGAGTCTGAGGTTGCTGTGAGTTAGGGATGATGCCACGGCACTCACTCTAGCCTGGGCAAACAGAATGACTGGATGGTCTCAAAAAAAAAAAAAAAAAAAAAAATTCTATGGCCGGGAGCGCTGGTTCATGCCTATAATCCTAGCACTCTGAGAGGCTGAGGTGGGTGGATTGCTTGAGGTCAGAAGTTCGAAACCAGCCTGAGCAAGGCGAGACCCGTCCTACCATTAAATAGAAATTAATTGGCCACCTTATATAGAAAAAATTAGCCAGGCATGGTGGCGCATGGCTGTAGTCCTAGCTACTTGGGAGACTGAGGCAGTAGGATTGCTTGAGCCCAGGAGTTTGAGGTTGCTGTGAGCTAGGCTGACGCCACAGCACTCACTCTAGCCTGGGCAACAAAGCGAGACCTTGTCTCAAAAAAAAAAAAGTAAAATTCTAGCAAATCCATACTAAAGTAAAGCAACAGAAAGCAGATTAGCATCTGCCCGGGGACGAGCAAGAGGCAATACCTCAGAGGCACAATAAGCTTTCGGACTGGCAGCAGGTCTGCTGTCCTAACTGTGGTGATGGTTTCATGGGTGTACGTATCAGAGCTTACTGAATTGTATAAAATGTTTCTTGTGTGTCAATTATTCCTTTTAAATAAAGCTATTTTCAAAACCATTGTTTTTTTTTTGAGACAGTTTCAGTGTGTTGCCTGGGCTAGACACATCTGTAACATAGGATCCCAAACACATGAATTCTGTCTTAGCCAGTGTGAGCACTGGGGCAATGTGTGCAGAGATGAGAAACTTGGGCAAAGGACCCTGGGGAACACCTATTATAGTACCTAAGTTGGATACTACACAGTATTGTACTGTAGTATCGAAGTCGGATACACATCATACTGAAACGTTCTGGTGAAGCAGCCTAGATAGATCCTGGGAAGCCTTTGTGCTCTGCAGGCCTATGTGGCCTAACCCTAGGAAGGCCAAGTCGACTTTGCTTCTGTCTACCCCGATCTCACAGATGACAGTTTGCCATTTGAATACAAGGAGGGCTGTCTCAGGCACGACAGAACATTGGTCCCCAAGGCACAGGTATACACTCCTTGTCTCAAAACTATTCACATCAGGGCAAAGAGAAGAGCTCCAACCCTAACCTGGTAACTGGCTGGAAACATGTATCCTAAGGAGGGTGTGGTAAGGTCTTGTTCCCAGAGGCAAGCAGCCCATGAGAAAATCTTTCCTGGCCTGTCACGTGGAGGGCAGATAGAAGGGAGAAAGATTGCTGGCCTGTGCCCAAAGCAAGCCAGCCTGAGTTACTCCATCACTCAGTTCACAGGAACTTTTTGAAAAGCAACCTTGTTAAGAGAATCCACCTACCCGCGAGCTCCACCTTCATTCAGTACTGTAGCCTTAACACATTAACTGCCATGTGAGTTGTATTTAACTCATGCTAGTTTTGAGCCCAGGGCTTCGAGAAGCATATGCATAACTCACATGTCTCTTTACCTTGGGAGCCACATGAACTATTTTTCAAGTTGCATATAACCCCCACACAGAAAACAATAAAAAATAACAAATTTTTTATTAAATTAGAAAGGATCATTTTGTTTTCAAAGTTTTTATTCTATTTTTGTAATAAAACATCATGGCCCCAAGGAAAAAAAATTTTTTTCTAGTGTGGCAGTCAATATGTTAATAGTCCTATGATTTGACCAATTTGTATTTGGACTGGGCCACAATATAGACTTGTATTTAAGATAACCATGGTCCAACAGACTTTACCACTGTAACATCTTCAAATTATCAGGGTACGTGGCACTCTGTGGACTAAATAAACTTTAACAAAGCAGACTCTCAACGATGCGCGAGAAATCGCAGTATGGGAGACACTTCAATGAAGTGGAGAGTATAGCACTGAGTCACTTTACAAAAGATGCGAGCTGCTCATGTACAAAAACCTCTTTGATTCCTTTATTAACGTTTGGAGATGTGTGGTACATACAACTAACAGCGTCACGCCAGCTACAGAAGTACAGATAGCCAAGAAAGGACCTCAGAACACGGATCTGAGAGCAACTTATGATGTTGCCTGCTCTGAACATCCACAAAACCCAACTGTGACACACACGGGACAAACCATGTAACAATTCACTTGGAAATGGTTCTTTTAAGAAATGACAAGAACTTCTTCAGAGTGTGAGATGTGGTTGCTTGGTGCTGTGGCACTGCTGTAAAGGCCAACTGGGCATTTGTAGGTCAGGCAGAGAGCCGAATGGGGTAAGTGGGAGAGGTTTTATTTTTCAGTGTAGAGAGAAAACAGATGGTCCGAGTGGATACTTTTAGTCCAGGCTCAGTATGAGGCCTGCAGGAATCCACCAGATAGTCTATTAACCGGATGGCTGGATGGTCATCCATCCTTGTCACTGCTTCCAACTGGTGGACACTGATGCATCAGGAGTCACTTATGACACAGGGCAGGCTCAACAGGGCCACGTCTGAACAAAAGAAGGGGGCCCACTGTGTCTGGTCAGCTCAGGTCCTTTCATGCCACTGGATGCCATGGGTCCTTCAGCTTTCACGTGTGAATTAAGGAATACTTCCTTTATTTCAGTGTTCCACTTTGGAAATAACCAAACCCCTCCCCCCACCCCCACCAACATTCTTCACAAATTCTGTTTCCAAACTCCTGATTCTTCTGGGTCTACACTTTTTCCTTTCGCTTCAATTTTGACACTTTCTTGACAGTCCCATTCTTGTTTAGAAGCTTCAGAACACGATCTTTATGATCTAAAACCTTAAGCATGGAGTCTCTGGCCTCACTGATTTGATCCATCACAAGTTTACACCTCTGCATATTCCCCTGAAACAGAAGACACCACAGCATCAACCAGTGACCATAAAGACAACGGCTTTTTTTTGTTGTTTTTGAGACAGAGTCTCACTCTGTTCCTCAAGCTAGAGTGCCATGGCATCAGTTCAGCTCAGAGCAACTTCCAACTCCTGGGCTCAAGTGATCCTCCTGCCTCAGCCTCCCGAGTAGCTGGGACTATAGGCACGCACCACCATGCCCGGCTAATTTTTTATATATATGTTTTTAGTTGTCCAGCTAATTGGATGGTCTCGAACTCCTGAACTCAGATGATCTACCTGCCTCAGTGTCACACAGTGCTAGGATTATAGGCATGAGCCACGGCACCCAGCCTAGACGATGGCTTTTAAAAAGCTGCTCACTGTTGGGAGAGGCCATTCTGAGGCTTTTCTATATAGAAAATGTCTTAGTGTTTCTCAGTAATGAAAGCTGAAGCAAATAAAAGGTTTTTACTAAAGATATTAGTGAATGTGGGAGGGAAATGGGAGAAATAGGACTTCATAGTAAGCAATTTCATGAAATGGATGATCAGAAGGGAAAAGGCTCATTCAAACCTGTATGAGTTCATTTATTCGGTGTAGATCATCATCAGTTGCAGCTTTTTTCTTTGGGATAATCCCTTCCTGTAGGTTGGTAAGTCTTTCATAGACATCATGTTCTAGATTTGTCTGCAACACATAAGAGGGAGGACATCGTGACCTCAGAGCTACTTTTCTATGTCAACCAAGGGCAAATGAACCCACTTTGAATCACCTTTCTAAGATGGTATGAGAGCTGTTGGGATGACAAAGTCCTTTCTCCCAAGGACTAAGGTACTAAGGTTAACAAATAGTATAGAATACTGATCAACAAAGACTTACATTATAATTTGCCATAGTTCAGAGTCTATCTTCAAAGATAACTTTTAAATATTGCCCTGAATTCACAATTTCTCTGAAAAACAGGTTCACAAGTTTCACGGAAATAATTTTTTGTAAGTAAAAACTAGCCAAGGCATTACATTTTTTAGATTCTGACAACAGACAATTTTCTTCAGATCACTGCTACTCAAAAGAAGGGAAAACTTCATGATGTTGCTGTCTCTTCACCAAGTTGTGAAGGAGGGATTCTTGTCCTAGGATTATGGAAATAGCTCAATATGTAAGATGCAACATTGCACAGATGAGATTGACAGTCGTTCATGAGTTACATATACAGTCATAGTCATAGGTCTCCAACAAAGGGGATACATCTGAGACATGTGCGAGTATCATAGAGTGTACTTACACAGACATAGATGGCGCAGCCTGTTACACACTTAGGATATATGGGGTGGCCTACTGCTCCTAGACTACAAACCTGTACAGCATGTTACTTTACTGAATATTGTAGGCGATTGTAACACAATGGTTAAATATTTTTGTATCTAAATATTAAACATACAAAATGTAAGTAAAATTACGACATGAAAGATAAAAAAATGGTACTCATATTTTGGGTACTTACTTACCATGGATGGAGCTTATAGGGCTGGAAGTTGCTCTGGGTGAGTGAGCAGTCAATATGAAAGCTTAGGACATTACTGTACACTTCTGTAGACTTTATAAACACTGCTCACTTAGGCTACATTATATTTAGAAAGTAAATTGTCCTCCTTCGATAATAAACTAACCTTAGCTTACTGTAACAATTTTACTTCAAAACCTTTTAATTTTTTTAACTTTTTGGCTTTTTTGTAATAACATTTAGCTTAAAACACAAATACATTGTACAGTTGTACAAAAATATTTTTTCTTTATATCCTTATTCTATAAGCTTTTTTCTATTTAAAATTTTTAAAAAACTTTCTAAACTTTTTTGTTAAGAACTAAGACATGAATATACACATGAGCCTTAGGCCTTCACAGGGTTCAGGATCATCGATATCACTGTTTTCACCTATACATTTTGTCTCACAGGAAGGTCTTCAGGGGCAGGAACAAGCATGGAGCTGTCATCTCCTATGATAACAATGCCTTCTTCTGGAACCCATCCTGAAGAACCTGCCTGAGGCTTTTTTTTCCCCCATCTCCCTTGAAAAGTTGTGAGCAATGAGGCTGTTTTCTAGTTAACTTTTTTCTAAGTAGAAAGAATTCACTCTAAAATAATGATTGAAATGTATAGTGTAGTAAATACTAGAAATAGGAATTTTTCAGCTCTACTATATATAATCTTACGGGACCACTGTCATACATGTAGTCTGCTGATGACCAAAACATAATTATGGGGTGCGAGACTGTACTCACAGCTTGGGGGAAGAGGACCTGGCACACCATGCAGGTCCACATGGGGTTGCACTCAGGAACAGATTGAACAAACAGGGGTGTGGGGGAGGCAGATTTGGGAGAAGTACCCCCTGGAAGCTGCCAGGGAACTAAAGCCCACTGCTCAGTGAGAAGCAGGAACTGTTCTTGGCCCCATGATAAAAAGGCTGTGTGGCTAGGAGACCTTATGTGAGGGAGCAGGGTGGGGAGAAAGGGTTTACAGTTAGGCCATTTGAGGCTTACCCTTTTTCAGATGTCATGACAACATATGATTCTGAATCTTTAACTATATACCACAGTTGTTCCATATATTTTGGGTCTGGTTACTAGAACTCAGATGTATTTTGATTACAATCGTATGTAATTGATATAATGATTATAACATTATATAGCACACACAAAATTCTAGCAAGACCCATGTTAGCTGGAATGCTTCAGAATTACTCAAAAGAGAATGTTCTATGAACTCAGACATCTCCAGCATCTTTCTTAGCATGCATGATATAACAACTGTTGGAACTCCACCTACCAGCTGTAGTAACTGGGCAGCACAGAGGTGGACTTTCCAACCTTGGGCACGACAGGATACTCCTTTCTGATTAGCTATCTCCTGCAGCATAGCTTTCTTCTCCTCTGGAACCATATAAAAACAAAAATAACCATATTTCAATTTTTAAAAAGCTAAACCACTTCTGTGCAAACAGCCTAAGTGCCAATATTTTATCAAGAATTTTTTTACTTTAGGCAGTGGTTTCATGGTAGGAGAGGCAAGCCAAAAGGACTCTGAGCTGCTCACGCCCCACTCCCCCTCCACTGAGTGCTGCCCTCCTGCAGCAGGGCTGTCACTCAGAGATATGCTTGTTGTGTCCCCACCTGCATCTCCAATGCCCTGGCTCAGAGATTTTGCCAGGGGAAGAAGTGGGCTGTAAAACAGATAACTTCTAATCTCTTCCCAAAGGAACTGACTCCATATGCAAGAGCGAAGAAGTTTAACCCTAAAGGTGCTCCCAAGAACAGGAGAGGATGTGGAGAGGCACCGGGGAGATGTGTGTGTCTAAGGACAGTCCAGCCTTGATAGTGCGGGCTAGCTGGCAGACGAGAGCGAAGAACAGACGGAACAGGACAGCCGGAGGAGCCCTCCTGAGGGCAGAACAAATATGGGACACTAATCTTCGAAACTATTCTGCACAAGAAACTACAATTTGACTGGATTAGTGTTGTAGAGCAATCTGTGCTCCAGGGCACCGCTGAAAACAGTAGAGGAAATAGCCAGCAACCAGTGACTTTACTAGTTGGGTTAGGTCAGGATAAGAAGAGAGAGCCCTTACAAAGCCACTTTCATCTGAGGGTGGTTTGGGGCATGTCCCAAGACAGGCTTCCCTGAGAAGTATGAGAGGCAGAACACTTGTGTGGGAGAGGGAATGTAGTGGTTAGACTTTACTAAATTAATCCAGCCAGTCACTAAATAAGACAATAACAATAGCAAGCCCAAGAGTGGGAGGACCAGTCTGAGCTGTTTCAATACATTATCTAAACAGTCCAGCTTCCAACAAAAAATTACGAGATGCAAAGAAGCAGGAAAGTGTGGCCCATACTTCTGAAAAGAATGCAGGCAACAGAAAGTGCCTGTGAGAACATCCAGGTGTCAAATGTAACAGCAAAAGATTTCAAATGCCCATAAAAAACAAGTTCAGAGGCCGGGCGCGGTGGCTCACGCCTGTAATCCTAGCACTCTGGGAGGCCGAGGCGGGCGGATTGCTCAAGGTCAGGAGTTCGAAACCAGCCTGAGTGAGACCCCGTCTCTACCATAAAAATAGAAAGAAATTAATTGGCCAACTAATATATATAATATAAAAATCAGCCGGGCATGGTGGCTCGTGCCTGTAGTCCCAGCTACTCGGGAGGCTGAGGCAGGAGGATTGCTTGAGCCCAGGAGTTTGAGGTTGCTGTGAGCTAGGCTGACACCACGGCACTCATTCTAGCCTAGGCAAGAAAGCGAGACTCTGTCTCAAAAAAAAAAAAAAAAAAAAAAAAAAGTTCAGAGCACTAAAATAAAGCAAGACTGAAAAAGTGAGGGAAACTAGGATGACTATCACACATGACATACACAACAGAGACATAGAAATTATAAAAAAAGAAACAAATTAAAATTCTAGAGTTGAAAAATATAACTCAAATTTAAGAATTCACTAGAGGGGCTCAAAAGATCTGAACGAGAAATAATTAGCAAACTTAAATAAAGATCTACAGGGATTATGCAATCTGGAACAGAGAAAGAAAACAATGAGGGCCTCAGAGAAATGTGGGACACCATTAGAGAAGCAATGTGTGAGAGGCATACCAGGAGAGAGAGAAAAACGAAAATATTCAAAGAAAAAATGGCTGAAAACCTCCCAAATTTATTGAAAAATAACCAAAACACCAAGGAAGTTGAAGGAACTACAAGTATGACAAGTGCTAAGAGACCTACAAATGGACACCTTATAGCAAAATGTGAAAAACCCAAGATAATGAAGAAATCTTCAAAGCACCAAGAGAGAAAATGACACTTCATTTATTACGACAAGGGAACCCCAACACAGCTAACAGTGGACTTCTCACAGAAACAAGGGAGGCAGGAAGGAAGAGGGATGACAAGCTCAGAGTGCTCAAAGCAATAAATGAGAGCTAGTTTCTGCATATCTTGACCAGCATTTACCTTAGCACTTTTTTTTTTTTTTGAGACAGAGTCTCACTCTGTTGCCGGGGCTAGAGTGCCATAGCATCAGTCTAGCTCACAGCAACCTTAACCTCCTGGGCTCAAGCAATCCTACTGCCTCAGCCTCCCGAGTAGCTGAGACTACAGGCATGTGCCACCATGCCTGGCTAATTTTTTCTATATATTTTTAGTTGGCCGGTTAATTTCCATTTTTCAGTAGAAACAAGGTTTCACTCTTGCTCAGGCTGGGTTCGAACTCCTGACCTTGAGCGATCCACTCGCCTAGGCCTCCCAGAATGCTAGGATTATAGGCGTGAGCCACCAGGCCCGGCCAGTATTATGTTTTTAATACCAGTTTCCACAAGTACAATCCAACACAATTGATGCTTGTGTTGATACTGTATCCTGTGACCTTACTGAATTCATTTACCAGTTTCATGAAGGTTTTTTGTAGGATCCCTGATATTTTCTTTCTGAACAATGAATGAGGTCATCTGCAAATAGAGACAATTTCATTTATTTCTTTCCAATTTCTGTGGCTTTTACCTCTTTTTCTTGCCTCACTGTGTAGCTAGATCTTCTAATACTATGTTGAGTAAGAGTACTGAGAAGACACCTTGCTTTTTGCCAATTTCAGGCAGAAATTATTCAGTCTTCCACTATAAAGTATAATGCTAGCTATGGGTTTTCTGTAGACTTTATCAAATTAAGGAAAACTCCTTCTCTTTCTATTTTTCAAAGTTTTTATGATGAAAAGGTGCTGAAATTTGTAAAATAATTTTTTTGCATCTATTGATATGATCATGCGATTTTTCTTCATTAGCTTTTATTGTGTATTGAATTGTGCCCGCCCCCGCCCGCAAGATATGTTCAAGTCCCTTGGTACCTGTGAAATGGAACCTTATTTAGAATTAATTCAGGAAAGGTAATGTAATTCAGGAAAGAAAAGTCACACTGGATTAAGGTGAGTTGTAAATCCAATGGTTGGTGTCCTTCCATGGAGGGAGGGAAGCAGAGAGGGGGAGAGAGAGAGTCAAAGAAGGAGGTGAGGAGGGGGAGAAAGGGAAAAAGAGGAAAAGGAAGGTGGAAGAGGCAGACAGATACAGAAGAGAATGCCACGTGAAGACAGAGGGAGAGACTGGAGTGATGCGCTGCAAGCCAAGGACTGCTATTAGTCACCGGAAACTAAGGAGGCAAGGAAGGACTTTCCTTAATGCTTTCACCAAGAGCATGATCCTGTCACACCTTGGTTGTGAACTTCAGGCCTCCAGAACCATGGGAGAATAAACTTCTACTAGTAAGCCATCTGTCCTATGGTACTTGTTATGGTAGCCCTAGGAAACTGATAGTCTGCTAATACGAAGAATTATATAGATTTCCAAATGTTGAACCAGACTTACATAGCTAGAATAAATCCCACTTGGTCAAGGTATATATTGCTGGATTTGAGTTGCTAATATTTTGTTAATGAATTTTTGCATCTATATTCAAGAGGAATTCAGTAGTTTGCTATATTCAGTAGTTTGCTATACTAGTACTCTGTCTGGTTTTGATTTCATATTGGCTTCATAATTTGGAAGTATCCTTTCCTATATTTTATATGAGAGGAGACTATAGAGAATTGGTGTTAGTTCTCATCAAAACATTTGGCAGGCCAGGCGTGGTGGCTCACGCCTGTAATCCTAGCACTCTGGGAGGCAGAGGCGAGCAGACTGCTCGAGGTCAGGAGTTCAAAACCAGCCTGAGAAAGAGTGAGACCCTGTCTCTACTATAAATAGAAAGAAATTAATTGGCCAAATAATATATATATATAGAAAAAAAATTAGCCAGGCATGGTGGTGCATGCCTGTAGTCCCAGCTACTTGGGAGGCTGAGGCAGGAGGATTGCTTAAGCCCAGGAGTTTGAGGTTGCTGTGAGCTAGGCTGATGCCACAGCACTCACTCTAGCCTGGGCAACAAAGTGAGACTCTGTCTCAAAAAAAACATTTGGCAGAATTCTCCAGTAAATGTATGTGGGCCTACAGATTTCTTTATAGAAGCTTTTAAATTACAGATTTAATTTATTTAATGGTTATAGAACTATTCTTATTGTCTATTTGTTTCTGGTTGAATTTTGATAGTTTGTGGTTTTCAAGGAATTGGTTCACTTCATTTACATCACTGAATTTATGAGGATAAAACTGTTCATAGCACTGAATGCTATAAATTTCCCTGTTAGCATTGCTTTAATACACATTTTATTATGTTATTACTTTATTTTCATTTTCATTCAGTTCTATGTATTTTTCTCTTTTTTTTTGAGACAGAGTCTCACTGTGTTGCCCAGGCTAGAGTGCCTTGGTGTCAGCCTAGCTCACAGCAACCTCGAACTCCTGGACTCAAACGATCCTTCTGCCTCAGCCTCCCGAGTAGTTGGGACTACAGGTACGCACCACCATGCCCAGCTAATATATAAAATTTTTTTTTTAGTTGCCCAGCTAATTTCTTTCTATTTTTAGTAGAGACGGGGTCTCAGGCTGGTCTCAAACTCCTAAGCTCAAATGATCCTCCGGCTTCGGCCTCCCAGAGTGGTAGGATTAAAGTTGTGAGCCACTGCGCCTGGCCAGTTCTATGTATTTTTAAAAATTTCCCTTGAGACTTCTTTGACCCATGGACTATTTAGACATGTGCTATTTAATTTTCATGGTTTGGAGCTTTTTGGGTCATCTCTCTCTTACTGGTTTCTAGTTTGATTCCATTATTGTCAATGAAGATACTCTATGATTTCAATTCTTCTAAATTAGTTGGGGTTCGTTTATGATCCAGGCTATGGTCTATCTTTATATGTTCTATGGCACTAGCAAGAATGTGTATTCTGCTGTTGTTGGAGTATTCTGTCAATGTCTAGCAGATACTGTTAGTTCCTGGTGTTCTACAGTCTTGCTTATCTTCTGACAAGTAGTTCCATCAAGTGCTAAGAGTGGTGTGTTAAAGTTCTAAGTATTCATTTTTCTATTTCTACCTCTAACTCTGTTGGATGGATACATCCAACTATGATGGATACATCATATATTCTGAAGCTCCTCTTTTCTGCTGCCTATACATTTAGGATTGTTTCCTGGCCAACTGATTTTCTTTTTTCTTTTTTTTTTGAGACAGAGTCTCACTTTGTTGCCTAGGCTAGAGTGAGTGCCATGGCGTCAGCCTAGCTCACAGCAACCTCAAACTCCTGGCTCAAGCAATCCTCCTGCCTCAGCCTCCCAAGTAGCTGGGACTACAGGCATGTGCCACCATGCCCGGCTAATTTTTTGTATATATATCAGTTGGCCAATTAATTTCTTTCTATTTATAGTAGAGACAGGGTCTCGCTCTTGCTCAGGCTGGTTTCGAACTCCTGACCTCGAGCAATCCGCCCGCCTCGGCCTCCCAGAGTGCTAGGATTACAGGCGTGAGCCACCGCGCCCGGCCTGATTTTCTTATCATTATGTAATGTGTCTCTTTTCTCTAGCAATATTCTTTGTCTGAAGTTTACTTTACCTGATATTAACAGAGCTACTGATTTTATCTAAATTAATTTTTGTAAATATTTTTCCATCCTTTTCCTGTCAATCTACCTATGCCATTGTACTCGAAGTGAGTTTCTTTCTTTCTTTTTTATTTTGAAAAATATTTATTTATTATTTATATAAATTTTTTAAATTTACTATGTTGCTCAGGTAAAGGTGGCTTCGAAGTGAGTTTCTTATAGACAGCATATAGTTTGTGTTTTTTCATCCACTCTGCAATCTGTTTTTTCTTTTTTTTTTGAGACAGAGTCTCACTTTGTTGCCTAGGCTAGAGTGAGTGCCGTGGCGTCAGCCTGGCTCACAGCAACCTCAATCTCCAGGGCTCAGCGATCCTCCTGCCTCAGCCTCCCGAGTAGCTGGGACTACAGGCATGTGCCAACCATGCCTGGCTAATTTTTTCTATATATATTAGTTGGCCAATTCATTTTCTATTTATAATGGAGACGGGGTCTCGCTCTTGCTCAGGGTAGTTTCGAACTCCTGACCTTGAGCAATCCGCCCGCCTCGGCCTCCCAGAGTGCTAGGATTACAGGCGTGAGCCACCACTGCGGCCTTCGCAATCTGTTTTTTTTTTTTTTTTAAGGCTGGTCAAGTGGAGCAGTGGGAGTGGAGAAGGAACAAAGGAATCTGTAACTGGTTGTGATACGATCTGTTTTTAATTGGTATATTTAGACTACATTTAAGACAATTACTGACATGTTATGGCTTAAGTCTGTCATGTTATTGTTTTCTGTTTATGCAATAATTTTAGTATGGCTTAAATATTACCAGGCAAATCCCTAAATACTTTATTGCTATGAAATTCTTGTGGCACGAAGAGATGATTAGTAGACAATTAGCAGGACAATATCCTGCTTCCCTTAAAGGTCAGCATTGTCTGACTTCTCGAAATCTCACTTTCTTTTCAAACCTCAAAGTATACTTGTGAGGAAGAATAGCTGGGAAGTTCCACCACCTCTGTACTTCTAGAGGATGAACTGTCAGCACCTTCACCCCTGCTCTGGACACTAGTCGGTACCCCATCCAAACTAGACTCATCTTGAGTCTTCAAGAGAACTCTCAGAGAAGTTTCCAAGTAGAATTTATGTAAGAGAATGAGAAATATGACCAATTCTCTGGAAACTCACAGTTCTCTGTGCATTTATTACAGTGAAGATTAACAACATATAGGGTCCATCAATAGACATATTTGCAGAGTATTTTCAAAGTACTGTCAGCCATTTTCATTACATGTGGGTTTATTAAATGTTATTTTCAGGTTCAACAACAATAACAAAGCATTTATTAAGGGCTTGCCCTAGACCACGCCAAGAGCTTCATATATATTTTAAACAAAAGGTCTTTTGAAAAAAATGCTTATGATAAACATACATTTTAGCATCCTAGAACCCCTATGGACTACAGACTACGTTACACAGCAATCCAGCACAGCTCTCTCACAGCTGCTCTGGGGGCTAAGGAGGTCATCCTGTCAATACTTGGGGAGCTGTTAGCACAATGTATTTTACTAAAACCAAGGCGGTCACTTAACCATTACACTGGAATTCCAATTAAGTGCATACAGCTTTCTGGGGCAAAGGATAATTTTCTAAGTTTAATACTCAACAGGAGGCCGCCTGTAATCCTAGCACTCTGGGAGGCTGAGGTGGGTGGATCGCTCAAGGTCAGGAGTTTGAAACCAGCCTGAGCAAGAGTGAGATCCTGTATTGGCCAACTAAAAATACATAGAAAAGAAAAAATTAGCCAGGCATAGTGGTGCATGCCTGTAGTCCCAGCTACCCGGGAGACTGAGGCAGGAGGATCGCTTGAGCCCAGGAGTTTGAGGTTGCTGTGAGCAAGGCTGACGCCACAGCACTCTAGCCCGGGTAATAGAGTAAGACTCTGTCTCAGAAACAAAACAAAACAAAAAATACTCAATAGGATATTTCACTTGTTAAACACTAAAGTCTCAAGATTTTATAATAAAAATTTATGTTTTTTTGAAAAATAGAAAATTATGATACTATAGTATTCTTCTATTATAATTACAATATAGTCAAGTGTTACACCAATTTCATGTATTAATACTAGATGTTAAAAAGAAATACTGGATGTTTGTGGGGAAACTAACCTTTGACCCGGACGTCACTGTACCTCTGAAAGTGGTGGTAAGCAGCTTTCCAGGGGTTCCGATAGTGACGGAGCAAAGTAATGGGAGGTCTTGGACGCACAGGGACATACCTCACACCTTCCTCATCTATATAAAAGGGAAGAAGACATTAAAATAACTCCTTACACATTTTCAACAATCTTCAAACTTCAATTCTAGTAAGTGAGCTCTGAGTGAAACTAAGTAAATGACCCTGGGGTGGACTCCTGACTTAAATGGAAAGCATCAGGAGACAAGAGTTAGAGTAAGTGATCGTTACCGATATACTCTTTGGGAGGAGACTTGCGCTTTTCGGCCTTCACCAGGAGACTCTTGGCAGCAGACTTCTCATCATCAGTGCTGTTTGCCTCCATCATATCACCTTCTTCTGTCGAGATCACATGCTGTTGCTTTCGAGGCTTCTTCCTTGGGGAGGCACCAGGTGGTAGGTCACTTGTAGGCATAGACAGGTTGTTTGCCAGCAATGAGAGAGACGGTGACACAGTGCTGGTAGCCAGTGGAGGAACTGCTGTCATAGGAAAAGGAGCACAAACATCTGTAAGAACCAAACATAATGGAAAGCTTCACTTGATGTCTAGCAATGGCAATGACTGAGGAAACAGCACAGACAGCTAACATCTACTGAGTCTTCCCATGTGCCTGGCACTATTTAAGCATTCTAATTGGGGCAGAGGTTGCCAACTGCCCCCTAATGCCCCACATCTTCATCTACCTTACTTCCAGGACCCTCATTTTGACATGGGATTCAGCTCAAAGAATGCATTTCCTAGCTTGTTATAGGTATAGTCAGATAAGATGAAAACAAAAGTGTTCTGTGGCACTTTTACGATGTTTTCTTAAAAGAAGGTGTAAAGAATGAAGAAAGAGAGAGAGAGAAAGAAACAAGGAGTGGCTTTGTACTCCTTGTCTTCCTTCTGTTACCCTGGAACTCAGATGTGATGACTGGAGCTCCTAGAATTGAGCTATCTAGAATTGAGAGTATGAGGTTACAATCCTAGGGGTGGCAAAGAGAGGGAAAGAGAATGGATCCTCCAAGACTTGATGGAATACATGTATCATCCCTGAATTGTATGCCTTAGGACTTGCTCCAAAGGAGATAAAAATCTTACATGTTTAAGCCACTATTTAGGCCTTTCAACATAAATTCCTAGCAGGCAACCAATTAACCCATAATCTTAAAAACAATCTAAATAAGTAAACATTATTATTCTCCAATTCACAAATGAGAAAATGTGGCACAAGTCACACAAGTACAAAGAGGCAGAGTTGGGAGTTGACAGAAGCAGTCTAGCCTCAGAGCCTGTACTCCTACCACAGCACTCTTCCTCCAGATAAAAAGCTTTCATAGTAAGGAAGTAAACGTTTGTTTGCACTTGTATGAATCACACATCTAGGGACTTAAAAATAATGTTCAAGGTTTACCTTAACTACTATTTCCACTCTGCCACATATTTGCTACATCCTTTTCCTCCACCCAACTTAGCTACCCACTCCCAATAGTCATACCCCAAACTCCGCTGTCACCAGAAGCCGCAAACCACCTCACAACCAACCTCAATTTCTAGCACCCAACTCTCCAGGCAAATCCACTGCTCTTTCTGGGTCACTGTCCTTAGAACCCAACTTCCAGCACTCTTTAGACCCATGAGAAACTATTACCCACTCACCTGACCACGAGCCTGTCATCACTGGTCCCTGTCTGTCCTCCCCTATTGCTGGTTGAAATTCTACAATCACTTAATCCATTTTCTTCCTTCACTGCACTCACTTATCCAAAGCACAAGAGGTAAATCCAATTCTCCGACTAGTCTGTGCCTATGTGGCTGAATGCAGCTAGAGACACACAGCAATGCTGACTGGACGCACATGGACAATTCTCCTATGTCTGCTAAGGCTACTCTCTTTCCAGATGATCACTTGACAACTTGTCCTCGTCAAACCTTCAATGCCTCCTCACCATCTGTACTCTCAGTGGATGGCCCTGCTATCTATGTTACTGAAAAGGTAGGCACAATCAGAAGAAAATGTCCATCAAGTCCCACCACCCCATCTCCCCACACACATGTGACCCTGTAGTTTCCTTCTCTCTGTGTTGGCAGCAAAGGCCAACCCCTTCAGGTACACTCACCAACCCTCACCTCCTCAGACAACACTCTAGGAACTCACATTGATTCTTCCTACTCTATTGGATCATTCCCATTAACAGACAAAATTCTTTATTTCTTCCATCTTAAAAACTTCCTCTTAATATCATTCTCCTTCACACGTTACCTTAATTTGTCTATCCTTTTAGAACAAACTCCTCAAAAGTGTTGTTTACATATAGTGTCTCTATTTCTCTCCTGGCTCTCTCTTAAACTCTCTTCCTAATCACTCTTTGACCCCATCATTACACAGAAACTGTTCTCAAAATCTCTATGACCTCTGTGTTGCCAAATCCAAAAGTCACTGCTCAGTACTCATCTTCCTGATCTTTCAACAGCATGCGATTCAGCTGATAACCCCCTCCTCCCTAAAACAGCTCTGTCCTTGACCTCCAGGACAGCACATACTCCACGTTGCCACTCTCGCCCTGTGTTCAGTCTCCTTTGCAAGACTCCACCTCTTCTCCCACCTCACAATGACACAGTGTCCTAGGGCTAAGGACAGTGGCTGCTTCTGTTTTTAATCAGCATTCATTCCCTAGATGACCTCATCCACTCATCCAGGTTAATGACTTTAAACACAATTTACATATACACTGACAACTCCCAAATTTATACCTGCAACTTCATTTGGTATTCCAAAATCCAGTCTGATACATCCAACTACTAAATGTTTATATATTTAGATGTCCAACAGACACCTCAAACTTACTGTGTCAAAAACTGAACTCCTAATCTCTCCCTACAAAACACGGTCCTCTTGCAACCTTCCCTAACAGTCAATGGTAATGCCATAGCTTCTAGGGGCTAAGGCTAAAAACCCTGGAGTAGCCCCAGATATTCTTTAACTTACACTCAACATCCTATTTTTAAAGAAATCCTTTTAGCTTTGCCCTTAAAAATATATCCAGTATTCTACCACCTCATACTACGTCCACTGCAACTACCCTGGCTGAGCCCTCAGTGTTTCCTGAAATTAATGCAAAAGCTTATAGACAAGTCTCCCTGATTCCATCCTTGCTCCCATAGCCTATTCTCTACCCAGCATCCAGAGTGCTCTGCTTCAATCCTAAATGAGCTCAGGGCACTCTGCTGAATCCCTCTAACAGCTCCTCACCAAGCCCAGCAAAGCCAAAGTCCTTACAATGACCCACAGGCCCTGCTCAACCATGACCCTGTTTCTCTTACCCTTTTGTCTACCACTCCCCTCACTTACTTCTAAGCTCCAGTGACCTCTGACTCTTTGCTGTTTTGAACCCATTGGGCATGATCCTATCTCAAGACTTTTGCACTTACTGCTTGAGCCTGAACTCAGGAGTTCAAGACCAGCCTGAGCAAGAGTGAGACCCTGTCTCTACTAAAAATAGAAAAATTAGCTGGGCATGGTGGCACATGCGCGTAAGTCCCAGCTACTCAGGAGGCTGAGGCAGAAGGATTGCTTGAGCCCAGGAGTTAGTCTGAGGTTGCTGGGAATAAGGCTGACACCATGGCACTTTAGCCCAGGCAACAGAGCGAGACTCTGTCTCAAAAAAAACCAAAAACCAAAACAAAGCAACGATTACAATTAACACATTTTTTTTGGCCTGCCTATATGTCCAATTTCAACAAATTTTTACAACAAACAAAACAAACCAATAAAACGATGGCATTGTTTTGTACAAGGTTGTATTGTCAGTGCCTAGAATAATCCCTGGTATAGACCCCACAGGCTGAGGCAGGAGTACTGTCAGCTTCCTAGCACAGAGAGGGAAGGAGAACTGTGCAAACAGCGAGCAGATGAACAGCAAACTTGCACACATTCAATTTTTTCCTCCTAGGTTATCCATGGTATCTTTGAAAAAAGGTGTCAAGAGTAAGTATACCCAATGGAAAGTTATTTCTTGGCATAATAAATAAATAGCAGGTGTAAAAAACTATAAACACAGCATAAAATCACACCTCTTACTAAACATGTGACATGGGAATACCAGTGGGTAACTGGAGCACAAAATAACTCGACTTTCACTTTGGATTTGTCTATAGTTCATAAATTTCATACACTGAATATGTTACTTTTATAATCAGGAAAAACAAGATTCCACAATAAATTGTTAGAAAAACCAAAACCAAAACGAAACAACAACAAAAAAAACCCTACAGAGCGACTTGACTTTCACAAATTGGAATTTTAGAGTTAAGATGAAGAGGGAAAAAGTGTAATGAATACTTTTAAGAGTTTACTAATCACAATTTATCAACAACATAAATCTTTACTGCATGACAAGGCAACAAAAATTGGCAGGGAATAAACTGCAAATAAATAGTACTTGGCTATTGTTATTCATTTTACATGGTAATATTTTCTTAATGAAGACGAGGAAGCTATAATGAAGAATTATCCATGGGAGATATTCATCTTTTTCATGATTCTGGCCAGAAATTAAACGTAATTACCAAAGAGCAGCAAAATGGTTTTGGTTTTCATAGGGAGTTTATTTTTATTTTTTTGAGAAGGAAAGAGAAGTTTATTAATTAGCCAGCAAATGAGGGGATTGGCAGACTCCCCTCTTAAAGTACCAAAACCCTTCACATGGAGTTTAATGCTTTCGTCCAGTTCTTAAAAATTACGAAAATGGGCTGGGCATGATGGCTCACGTCTGTAACCCTAGCACTCTGGGAGGCCGAAGCAGTTGGATTGCTTGAGCTTGGCCAGCCTGAGCAAGAGCAAGACCCCGTCTCTACAATAAAATAGAAAGAAATTAGCCAAACAACTAAAAATAGAAAAAATTAGCTGGGCAGGCTGGCACGTGCCTATAGTCCCAGCTACCTAGGAGGCTGAGGCAGGAGAATCACTTGAGCCCAGGAGTTTGAGGTTGCTGTGAGCTAGGCTGACGCCACGACACTCTACCCAGGCAAGAAAGTAAGACTGTCTCAAAAAAAAAAAAATTACTAAAATGCAACATCTAATATGGGCATCAGAGAGTCTGGCTTCCTGGCAGAGGTCGGACAGGAGTCAGGAAGGAGTTCTGGCCGGGCACGGTGGCTCATGCCTGTAATCCTAGCACTCTGGGAGGCCGAGGCAGGCGGATTGCTCAAGGTCAGGAGTTCAAAACCAGCCTGAGCAAGAGCGAGACCCCGTCTCCATTATAAATAGAAAATGAATTGGCCAACTAATATATATAGAAAAAATTAGCCAGGCATGGTTGGCACATGCCTGTAGTCCCAGCTACTCGGGAGGCTGAGGCAGGAGGATCCCTTGAGCCCAGGAGATTGAGGTTGCTGTGAGCTAGGCTGACGCCACGGCACTCACTCTAGCCTGGGCAACAAAGCGAGACTCTGTTTCAGGAAAAAAAAAAAAAAGGAAGGACTTCTGAGAAGAGTTAGGCAAAGGACAGCAGCATCTGCCAATGCAGAGTGTTCTGGGAACGAACTTACCAGAAACCGGCCTCATGATGTCCATTGGTTCTACTTCTTCTTTCACTTTAACCTCAGGTACAGGAGGGCCCAAGACAGAGGAGAGACTGCCACCCACAGTGGCTGACGGTGGCGGTGCAGCTGCAATTGTGGTAATGGGGGGAGTGATGGGGACTGCTCCAGGAATGGTTGAGAGGGCAACAGCTGGCTGTGTCGGGGGACTGGCTGCTGCAATCATGCTTGGAATGGCTGGTGGAGGCTGCTGGGCAGTTGGAGGGATGGCAATGGTAGGCTGATCATTACTTTGACTGGATATGGTTTCCACAGACATGGTGACTGGAGAGGCCATAGACACGTGGATTTCGGGCTTGGGTTTGGCACTGCAACACAAAAGCAAACCACTGTAACAAATGAGAGAAAACTGCGTTAACCCACTACATCTCAGATGAAGAGTATCTTTGCCCAATTATTTTTGAGCAACACATAGCACAATCGACTCTATTCCTTGATCCTAAAGTTCAACATTAAGGTAACTTTTAAAGGAAATTCAGGTTTTTAAAACATTCTGTATGCCCTACCTCCATCAAGTTTTTATAAACAGTAATAAAATTAACTTAGAAAACATTTTAGGCCTGGCACAGTGGTTCATGCCTACAATCCTAGCACTCTGCAAGGCCAAGGCAGGAGGATCACTTGAGCTTAGGAGTTTGAGAGCAGCCTAAGCAAGAGCGAGATCCAGGGCTGGAGTAGAGGACACTTGGTTGGTTGCTTGTGGGGAGAATTCCTCAGAAAATTCTTGGTGACCAGAGGTCACAGAAGTTTCTCTGTTGTTGAGTGAGAGAATAGAAAAACACTTTGGTTTTTACTCCTACAGTCTCAGACTGGCAATTGCACACTTGGGATTTTTATTCTAGAAAAATAAAAATGTATGTCTACCAAGAATGCTATATACAAATGTCTATAGCAACTGTATCTGCAATAGCCCCAAACTAGAAAACAACCCCAGCGTACACTGAGAAACAAATAGATTAATTCTGGCACATTCATACTAACCACCCAAAAAAGAACAAATTATTATTATTATAATTTTTTGAGACAGAGTGTTGTTTTGTTGCCCAGACTAGAGTGAGTGCCATGGCGTCAGCCTAGCTCACAGCAACCTCAAACTCCTGGGCTCAAGCGATCCTACCACCTCAGCCTCCCGAGTAGCTGGGACTATAGGCATGCGCCACCATGCCTGGCAAATTTTTTCTATATATATTAGTTGGCCAATTAATTTCTTTCTATTTGTAGTAGAGACAGGGTCTCACTCTTGCTCAGGCTGGTTTTGAACTCCTGACCTTGAACAATCCACCCACCTTGGCCTCCCAGAGTGCTAGAATTACAAGTGTGACCCACCACGCCCGGCCAAGAACAAATTATTGATACACACTATAACTTGGGTGGATCTCAAAGGCACTAAGTTGAGTTAGGTCAATATAATCAGATTATTATATATCAAATATATCCCTATATATGTAGTTATTTATGTATATGATTCCATTTATATTCAACTCAAAATGACAAAATTATAGTGATCGAGAATAGCCAAGTGGGAAATGGTTAGGGCTGGGGGAAGGGTGTGATTTATAAATGAGGGCTTGTCTTGTTATTTATTCTGATTATGGTAACAGCTACACAAATCTATATGTGTGATAAGATTTCAATATATTATACATCCTCCTCCATCTCAAAAAGTACATATAAAAACCAGTGACATCCTAATAAGGTCTGTAGTTAAGTAAGTAGTACTGAACCAATGTTAATTTTTTTCATTTTGAGAATGTACTGGAGTTATACAAGACGTAATCACTGGACAACGAAGTTAGGGTATATGGAAATATTTTTTTTTTTTTTTTTTTGAGACAGAGTCTCATTCTGTTGCCCAGGCTAGAGTGAGTGCCGTGGCGTCAGTCTAGCTCACAGCAACCTCAAACTCCTGGGCTCAAGTGATCCTCCTGCCTCAGCCTCCCAAGTAGCTGGGACTACAGGCATGCACCACCATGCCTGGCTAATTTTTCCTATATATATTAGTTGGCCAATTAATTTATTTCTATTTATAGTAGAGACGGGGTCTCCCTCTTGCTCAGGCTGGTTTTGAACTCCTGACCTTGAGCAATCCGCCCGTCTTGGCCTCCCAGAGTGCTAGGATTACAGGTTTACAGGCGTGAGCCACCACATCCAGCCTCTTTGTATTATTTTTGCAACTTCTTGTTAGTCTTAAATTATTTCAAAATAAATATTTAAAAAATAGTGGTCAATAGGATACGTATTTTTCTGGAATTAAAGAAAAAATATAAATAGTGACATCAAGGCTGGGCATGGTGGCTCATGTTTGTGATCCTACCACTCTGGGAGGCTGAGGTGGGAGAACTGTTTGAACTTAGGAATGTGAGACCTGTTTCTACTAAAAATAAAAAAACCGGCCAGGCATGGTGATGTGCACCTTAGTCCCAGCTGAGGCAAGAGGATTGCTTGAGGCCAGGAGTTTGAGGTTGCAGTGAGCTATAATACGATGCTATGACTGCACTCTGCCCAAGGCAACAGAGACTCTGTCTCCAAAACCAGACAGACCAGGCGTGGCGGCTCACACCTGTAGTCCCAGCATTCTGGGAGGCCAAGGGGGGGGCGGATCATGTGAACTCAGGATTTCAAGACCAGCCTGGGCAAGAGAGAGACCCTGTCGCTACTAAAAATAGAAAGAAATTAATTGGCCAACTAAAAATATTGAAAACATTAGCTGGGCACGGTGGCACATGCCTGTAGTCCCAGCTACTCGGGAGGCTGAAGCCAGAGGATTGCTTGAGAACAGGAGTCTGAGGTGAGCTAGGCTGACGCCATGGCACTCTAGCCCGGGCTACAGAGTGAGACTCTTTTGCAACAAACAAACAAAACAACAGAGACATCAGCAAAAATGTGGGAATAGAGTCTCTGAAAATTCTCTCCTTCATAACAGCAACAACAAAAAAACAGATATTAAAAAAAAAAAAAAAAAAAAAAAAGGCAGAATGAATTTCTTCAGAACTCCAGAAGTTAACCAAAGGCTTTCAGTAATCTGGCAAAATTATTCAAGAAAACTGGCTGAATCTAGGCAAGAACAGCAAATTTCATGGTGCTTTAACTTGCTCTATTTCTATTCATCTAGCTTGGCAGCAGGCTTGCAAGCCACCAGTCCACGTTCATAGTGAAAACCAGCAGCCTGAGCTACCCGAGGGGCTGGAGTCCTTTTGAGTCCTCGTCTCCAGGACACTGTCATTACACGACTCATCTAGGTGTAGCCTGGAGGAACCCACAGGCAAGACTGTCTTTATTTGCCCTGACTTGGAATGTGTCTAGTGTAAACGCTTTTTTCCCAAGGGGTATTTGTCAAAAAACATTAGAAGTAATTGATAAACAGTTGAGTGAGAAGACTGTAGTAGTTGGGGCAAACAGCAGGCTTCCCAAAAAGCTTCCAAGAAAGGCAGAGGAAGGAAATATCCATAGGGGCTTTGAAAGCTCTGACACATTTCTGGCAATCCAAGAAATGACACATACGCTAGGACTCTGTGCATGCCCAGGGCTGTGTATGTGGCCAGGGAAGGACCAAGAAGGCCCTAAGCTCTAACCTTTGGCTGCCCTTAAGGCTCTACCTAAGTAGACAGTGAAGGATAAGGCATAGTTGTGACCTGCTTGCCAGAGTATTGAAGGGGTACCCCAAGGCACACACAGAGCCCCCTGGCCAATGCAAGATTTATTGGCTCTAGGCATTTGGGGAAATATCTGTTCAATCATTAGTTTATTTTTTGGTTTGGTTTTTAAAGCAAGGAAGACTTTATTCAGGGCTGCTGTAATTAGGGAGTGAGAATGAATTTAACTCCACTGAAACAAAAGGTGAAATAATTTTTAAACATGGGGTGTGTTAATAAAAAAGTACTGGAGTATATTAAGGGGAAGGTTATTCAATGTGCCTAGGCCATCTGTGTTTGCTAATTATCCCTCACTGAAGTTAGGCTCCTACTCTCTCTCAGAGACCAGGAGATAGGCATTTTTTTCATTTCTTATTTAAATATTTATTTAATTATTATATATATTTTTTGAGACAGATTCTCACTGTTGCCTGGGCCACAGTGCTGTGGCATCAGCCTAGCTCATAACAACCTCAAACTCCTCGGCTGAAGCGAACTTCTTTATATTTTTAGGAGAGATGGGGTCTAGCTCAGGCTGGTCTCAAACTCCTAACCTCAAGCAATCCTCCTGCCTTGGCCTCCCAGAATGCTAGGATTACAGGTGTGAGCCACCACGCCTGGCCTAAATATCTATGTATGCATGTTATTTATTTTTTTTAATTTCAGAAAATTACGGGGAGTTGACCATTAAATTAACCCAAAAGAGATTCAATGGCCACACCAGACAAGATACAGATTGGACAGAATTAGTTAATAAAATTCATTCAACTAACAGTACAAGTAGCAGTAAGAACAAACCCTGAGGAGGTGTGGGAATGGGTGGGGAACCTGCAGCCTTCTGATCTCAAAATTGTTCTTTTTTAAGCACCAAAGGAGGCAAGAAAAGCTTCAACTTTCGCCGCTACACCTCTTTTAATAAAAGGATTTATTCTGTAAAATTTGGATTCAGTCAAAAGGCTGCACTCAAGGATCCAGAAGGCCACATGTGGCCCCAAGGCCATAGGTTCCCCACCCTTTACTCTCAGCAAATTAAGGATATGAATTAAGCTCTTTCCGCCATCTTTCCGTGTCGCCATAATGGTGCGCATGAATGTCCTGGCTGATGCTCTTAAGAGCATCAACAATGCCGAAAAGAGAGGCAAACGCCAGGTTCTTATAAGGCCATGCTCCAAAGTCATTGTCCGGTTTCTAACTGTGATGATGAAGCATGGTTACATTGGCGAATTTGAAATCATTGATGATCACAGAGCTGGGAAAATTGTTGTGAACCTCACAGGCAGGTTAAACAAGTGTGGAGTGATCAGCCCCAGATTTGATGTGCAACTCGAAGATCTAGAAAAATGGCAGAATAATTTGCTCCCATCCTGCCAGTTTGGTTTCATTGTATTGACAACTTCAGCTGGCATCATGGACCATGAAGAAGCAAGAAGAAAACACACAGGAGGGAAAATTCTGGGATTCTTTTTCTAGGGATGTAATACATACTTACAAATAAAATGCCTCAGTGGAAAAAAAAAAAAGAATATGGATTAAAAGACAGAAATTATAAAAAGTCCAAAGAGAAATTCTGGAGTTCAAAAGCATAAATGCTAAAAGGGAGGGGGGGGGAAACACCAGCAGTGCTCAGCTGCATGTTCAAGCAAGCATAACAATCAGTGACCTTGAAGATGGGTCAATGGAGATGATCCTGTCTCAGAAACAGAAATAAAACTG